ACGATATTGTTTGTTGACAAAGAAAAGACCAACAAAAGAATATCCCCATTTTGGAATTTGTCAAGAATGATAGCAATTAACTGGGGCTGAGTTTTGATTGCTACCCGGTCATTTATCATTAATTTGGGGCCTCCCCTAAGTATACGTATCCAATCAAGTGGGAAGAGTTCGATAAGCCTTTCCAAAGCTTCAATCGGGTGGTGACAATAACGAAGACGGATTCATAATAAAGATGGATCTATCCAGACATTGATATCAACATCCCATAGATAGTATATTCTCAAGATTCCTGTATTTACCCAGCCTTTCCAGGGCAGTGCATACAGTGGAGGACATACCCCTGAGTGTCCCGAATCCACCCATTATAAAAAAAAGGTTGTTGGCAGACCTTCTCCCAACGATCTGGTCATATTTTATCTGTAAGGGGAAGTTTCCTCCAAGTTTTTAGCATGGTAATCCAAAATGGGTCCTTCTTCAGGTCTTGTCTGATTGCCTGTTTGTTTGAGATGGTGGTTGCCATAATAGTATTAGAAATCCCTCTAGGGATTGACCAATATCGATTCTCCAACCATGACAAAGGGTCAATATCTTCAGACGTAGGGGGAGGAAGACGTTTGATTTGCTTTAAGTTTAAGGTCGACCATGGGGTTTGAGGGTTGAATAGCAAACGTTGAATCCTGCGTAGCACGGCGAACGTGTTCGCGGTGTTTCCCGTCCGCGCGTTCGCGCTAACGGGTCCCGAACACGTTCACGAGAACCATTTTCGGAGGCCGCGAATGTCGTTCGCGGGTGCAGTACTGGTCGCCGGCGGTGGTCCTGGCAGGGGTTTTGAGGCCGTAGGGCCGGGTCGGCGGGGGTGGCCAGTAGTCAGGCTACCGGTAGTTGAGGCTGGCGGCAAGGGGCTGGGGGGAGAGGTTTTCGAATTCGAAATCGCTTCCAGCGTGCATTCCCCCCAGCTGGAGCAGCGCGCAGAGGAGACGGCCATGCGGGTGAGTCAGCACACAACCCCCCCCCCCGCCACATA